CCCCCCGTGTAACGATGCAAACGTTTACTATGTTCGAATCAGCAATCTCCGTAGTGAGGCTTTCATTGAAGTTCTCCTCATTGTACCACTTCGAGATGTACCTTTTCCAAATGAGATGATAGTTTAATTAAGTATCAGAGTGCTTTTTTTCATTTTATTCGCAACGTAAAAATGAGGAAAGATGGATAATGGGCAGCGCGTAAAAATGTTTCGCACGTAGCATTAAAATTTTGGAATTTTCAGAAATTTTAATTTTATTTCAAATAAAAAATATAATACACGTATAACGCGTTTCAGCTATAGCGTAATGGTAATCCGGTAAGCATCGAAATGTAATATTTTCCTCTTTGCCTCTCTTTGTGATTTGCGTTAAAAAATTTCTCGCTATTTTTCTACTGCTCCACAACAAAACTTTTCCACCATACTCTGACTTTTAATTTACGGTTGTAATTTTTCATAAAAAATATATTCATCGTAAATGGCACAACCGAACCCCATTCGATAGGCCGCTTATACGGTCGTACGTTTCCACCTGAAATATAATAAAAAATACAGTTTTTATTTTCACATTTTGTTATAATTATAATTAATTATTGTTATAATTAGCAAAGTAAAATTACCAATGCTTCAATATGTACCTTACTCTGGATATTCTGATTCGGCCTTTAAATGTGAATATTGAAATTTCCAACGTAGAATATATGTATATTATTCTATATTAGAAGATTAAATATTCGCACTCAAAGACCAAAACAATAAGAATGTTCAAAGTTAGGTACGTGTGCAGGCATTGGTACACGGGAAAAAAATTTAGTTGCTTTAGGGAACCAGAAAGGGAACAACCCGCGTTCTGATTGACGAGGACAGAATTTCTGGTTTTTATGATCCAAATGTGGTTCTTATAACTAGAAATTCTGTTTCCTTCAATCAAAATTCACTTGGTTGTTTCCTTTCTGAGTAATACAACAAAACTTTTTTCTCAAAATGTTTCTTTTTCTCCTATTTTCTAACTCGAAAGTTCTCTTTCTGTCAATATTATTTCTAATGAATAATGCATCCCACCGATCTGAAATTTGTTGTTTGGCAAATGCATTGTTTGTGTAACGTTCATTAAATATTTCCGACATTATTGCCCGTTATTAGATTACGAATGCATAATAGCGCGCGAAAATGATAGCGCGATAGCGTCGGGACAAACATTAACGCGTTTCGTCAAAACTTTTGACGTACTCCGCCAACGACTTGCACCTTTTGACACGTTAGCGTGGTCGGTCTCACTGCACTTTGAACTTTTTCAGGAAGGATTTCCATAATTCGCCAACGCGGACGTATAAAGTTGACCGTCCGACCGCTTAAAACCTCGACGAAGAAAGTTATCCGAGCAACGAGCGAAGACGCGTCGCGCATATATTAGACGGGACTGTTTGCGACGCTGCGCGCTTTCCGGTAAGTTATACCTTATTCTTATGAATTTCCTGGCAAAGAGAATGTTACGCGTGCATGTAATATCGGATACTCTTTCCATCAGAACTAAAGCGACATTGTACCATTTCTGCAACACTGTCACATAAAAGTCGTAGGAGTTTTAAGATACGTAAGAAGCTTAAGATACTATGGCGTACTTTATGCTCCGTCCGATGAGCGCTAAACGTACAAGACGAAAGTGTAAATTAGAGCGCTTAATATATATCTGAACACCTTGAATTGTTCTTCAGGAATTATCGTTTCATTCAGATCACGTTTGTGTTCAAATAATTCGTCAACGCTTAAATTACTTAGATTACTTAAATTAAACTCTCTTTCCGTAAAGCGCGTGAAGAGTAAAAAAATATCACGAAACGTTTCAAATTGTTAATACGATGAGCTATGTGAACTGATCCTCTTACATTCCATATTACAAAATAGAAAATGCGTCAATATAAATGCAAACAAGCATTTAAAAGTTACTACCTTTTTTTTTTTAAATCCGATTTTGTCGAGAAATAATTTCAGATTTAAAAAATTTGCGTCATTCGGGAAATCTAACGTAAAATTCGCATAAAACATATTTATTCGTGTACATAACAAATATGATCATTCTTTTATGCTTTTTCATGTTTTTCGTTCACGCATTTTATTCACGCTTTGACGATAGTACCAACGTATACGATTAATGCAGTGGTTTTCAATTTTTTTGAGAGACCATTCAACAATTGTGTCACACTAAATTTTAGTATCTTTTACTTCCCCCTCACCTTCGCCACCATTTCGTCACAAAGTACTCGCCCTCTTCCAATATTATGTAACATGTAAAATTACTGGTTGACACATAGAATAAAAAATAACTTATACCCTTATATTGTGGGTAATAATTATTAGACTGTACGCTACTATCTTTTCTCAAAACATAAATAAATATAAATAATTTTTAAGCATATAATATCAAATTAATTACTTTATTTTAATTTGCTTAATTACATCAATTTAATTAATTTTATAATTTTATAATTTTAATTAATAAAAGTTGTGTTTTTAAAAGAATAAATATTGAAAACTTAATATTTTGATTAACACGAAACCATGGCAACATTTAAAAATTTGCACTAAATGTGTCACGAATGCAAAATGAGTAATCACGCGCATTCATATTTATGTTGTCTAATGTGACGTTCCATAGACTTTACCCTTACCCCATCCTCTCTCCTTCTTGTCATCACAGACCGCCATACAATAATAACTGATAGATTTCTCCTTCCTTTGTAATTTGGTGTAATTGTTAAACGGGCCCTTAACCAAAAATTGAAAAAGTCGTGAATAACGACAGTCGCAGAGACAAGGAAGAGAAACTTGGTTGTTCTCGCATTTCTCAGTACTTATCTCAACTAGAAGATTAATTTGTTTACACAAACACTTTAAATAAATTAAAGCGAGCTGTCTGAAAAGGAGAGATACGATCCGCTCTTTCAGCTCTACAATCCACCGAAATCTCGTGTGAAATTAAAAGTATAAAAAGTTCCGTATATATAGAGCGTATCGCAACGATACGAATAAGCCACATTCGACGATTTCTCTCGTCACTTTGGCGCCTCTTCCTTTCCGTTTCACGAGTCAGGAAGGTTTCCTCTTACTTATTATACGTCGACCATACAGGTAATACCGCGCATCGTCTCCCGATACGCGCACGATCGACGCGACGGCTAACGAAGGACGCGGACGCGGAAATATATCCGCGCGCCGGTTTAATTCCGATCCATCGACAGCTACAACGAGAGTCGGCGCGCACCGGTGCCGTATCGGTGGTGGCGGCGGCGGTGGCGACGGCGGTATCGGTAGCGCGCGCGCGAGTCAGCAGGTGCGCGGAATATTTCCGAGACGAACGCGCGCCCCGCGACTATCGTAACATGCGCGTTAAACGTACGCTTCCACCCTGAACTACCGTGGTGAAGCACGAGGGCGCGACAGAGGGAAGGAGGACGGAACATGCGAGGGTGGAAGGGAGGAGGGTGGCTCGGAGGATGGCGTGAGATAGAGAGAGAGAGAGAGGATGGAGGATGCTCGCGTCGGTGGTGGCGGAAGTCGCGACGGTGGGAACGACGGCGGGTCCGGAGGGTGGATCGAGAGCGAGAGCGCTGCAACGCGTCGGAGGAGGGCGAGGAGCGCGACCGACGGGGATGGCTGCTGGTTAAGGGGTCCACGAACGGGCGAGAGAGAGAGAGAGAGAGGGATAGGGACGCGCGCGCGCGCGAGAGAGAAAGAGAGAGTAGATGGAGAGGGGCGGTGGAGCTGAGGGCGAGCGGACGAGAGGGATGCTGGGGCGGTTCAGGCGAGACCGAGTTCACGCCGAGTGGAGTACGGCAGTTTGTGTCAGACCACGGAGCTCGGAAGATGCTCCCGGTTGTTCACGTGACGGGTGGACCACCCTCGTCGCGACGGCGGCGTCGCGCGACGTTCCCGCTCGGTACCGCGGTGTCCGCGTATGCCCCCGGGGTAACCGGGGACGCGAGAGATACCGGTGCCGGTAGGATCTGCGGATCAACATCCACTGCCACGATGATGACCATGGCCTTAACCGTCCTCTTGGTCCTGGTGCCAGCGGCGTACCCGGACAAGATTTCCATTGGTGAGTCTTGCTCTCTCTCGCCCGTACTTGTACATCATTAACGTTTCGTTTACACACGGCGACACTCGCGTCGCCGGGCATCGTCGTCTCGCCGTCGACGTTGGCACTGAGCTCTCTCACGGGTGATTTAGCGAGCGAGAGAGAGAAAGAAAGAAAGAGAGAGAGAGAGGGGGGGGGGAGACGCTAATATCCGAGGAAAACGCGAATACCCGAAGCGTCTTTTGTGCAAATCAGGACATTCATNGTCGAGCACGTCTGCCGTCGGCAGAAGGGTTACTGAACTCGGGTGTACATAGCCGGCGTACGCAAACATACCGTTCGCCTATGTATTCTAAATACCGGCGCAGCATACTCCGGCAATAATATCGGTTCTGCCTTCACCTCTTCTTCTTCCTCTCAGCCGCCGCCACCTTCCCTTCCGGGGCGACGTTACGTCGATTATGCCCGATAGAAAAACGCGGCGAAATAAATATCCGCCGGAATACAACGTGACATCGCGCCCGGTCGCGTTACCCCGGCGCCATTATTTTGATCGGAGTGTCGGTGCGTGGTTTAATTACCGATACCCGTGTGCTCGCAAGCACGCGCACGCGCGTCCACGCATCTATTTCGATACTTGAGATAATAATTTTTCTGCGCGGGATCACGTGATGCAGTAGTATGTACGCAACATTAACGAAACTCGGGACATAACGAAATTTTCCCGATACCGCGGATGATATAGTAGTCCAAAGAAGTTTCCTATTTCATACGTTGTTTACGTTCCGCGCGTATCGATATCGTTATATAGGTACATATGAAAGCACGTATCGTAAAACGAAGTATGGCTACAATTATCTTTTTCAATATGCAGCATTTCGTTGTTGTCGTCGCCTCTTTTTGCAAACGGACGCGAATATGATTTTTTGAAACCGTGCATTTCAAAGGGTTTCCCAATTTCGATATTTTTATTCATTTATATTTCGCGAGTGCGTGATCGTATATCATATATGAAGCGCAGCGAATATTACGTCGTCCTTTTATGCGGAAAATGTAATTATGCAATTGTTGCATCACAGTTGCACTTTTACGCGAAATTCGTTCGACATATATAACGAGTATATAATTATTTATTTTAATTTGTACAATTTTTGAAATTCTCTCTCTCTCTCTCTCTCTCTCTCTCTCTCTCTCTCTCTCTCTCTTTTTTCCTTGTTTTATTTCCTTTCCGCCGTTTAATGGGGATCATCCTCAGCGTTTTATATTCCTACGTATTAAGACTCGCCTTTGTACAAAACAGTTTACTTCACATCTCTTCCCTGATAGAATATCTTCATTATATTCACTCCAATTACCACATAATGTTATGTTTCTAGGATATTTATAAAATAAACATTTTCCAGGAACGAAATATAAAATTTCCTCGTTTGCTTAATATATATACTGTTTATCAAAGAATTTATTGGAAAATACGAATAAAACGAAGCACAATAAAAACTGTGGATTTTTTTCTTCTGTTTTAAGAAGGATGCTAAAGAAAATTGCTCGCTATTATTTGAAAAAAATTATGGATTATACGAGTCACCTAAACGACTTCAGCTTCAGCGAGCGCGGTTTCTATCGATCCTCTTTTACGGTTTGGAAATGGGACGATATGGGGAAATAAGAAGCCAAAGAGAGTGCGCGTAAAGAAGAGACACAGGACGAACGATTGGGAAAGTTTTTCACTGGGGGAGACCGAACTTTAACATGTCACGACGATCTCGAACTCACGCATGGAAGTTTTTCCCTCGGTTAGCGATCGGGAGTTTTATGGAAAAAAGCGTAAAGCGTTTTTACAAGCGGCTGGAACGATATTCGAAAAAAAATATACAAAATGGCATAAATACTAGTTGGTGCTGTTTCGTTCTGATAAATATTGCAAGCTTACAAAATGTTTTTTTTTTACCAACGTCAATAACATCGTTGAATGTTGAACTTTTCACGTACCTTTATGTTTATTTATATTTCGGCGCTCGATTAAGTAGCGAAAAATAGTGTTTGCGGCGTAACTTTGTCCCTTAGCGCCGTTTCGGCGGAACTTCGCGATAGCGCGCAGTCGAAGTCAAAAAAACACACGTCGTATTATGACGAACGAGATATGTGAATATTGTCGTGGCTCGTATTATTATTAGTAACATTGCAGATATACAAATATGATTTTTCGCCGGCGTTTGTTTTCGACGGACACGATATTACGATATTTGATATGTACTCGACATGGTCGCTACGTTGCAATGGAATATATCGACAAGCTGAGAGAGAGAGAACGAGAGAGGGAGAGAGAGAGAGAGAGATAGAGAAAGCACGAAACACGTATGTGTAATATAGTAATAGTGGTTAATCAATCGATTGCACCAACACGCATCTGTATTTGAAACGCTTCAGCGTCACGTATAAATACTCGATATTTTTAATTCGATACCGCCGCTAGATCTCGGCTGCAAGCAGAGCTTACACTCCATTACTATACATTATCTTCGGCGGGTCTCGAAAATCAATGCCGCCGATGTTGACTCGATCCGAATTGCGAGAGCGTTATGCGTTACTCGCCGCGTTGAAATTTGCGATCGAGCGCTAATTCGCGCGACTCAGCGTCGTAAGCCGCGATGGCAGCGAGAACTGTTCGTCACGCGAAAATTAACAGATTACGGGCGGTGTGCCGGAACGTGAGATGCCGTAAACGAGAAAACAAAAACTAACCCAAAATAATAGAGCCGTGGAACAGACGAACACGGCGGTTGAAAAGCCGCGGCCCCTGTGGGTCTCTCGCGACCGTGTGTACATTTTTAAACAAACCGATCGCATGAAAGCAACGCGATGGCATAACGAGTCGGTTTAATCGATTCCGCGGGTGCGCATCTGCCGTTCCCGAAAATCGAAGCGTATTGTAATTAAATCGAGCCATCAGAAAACGTTTAGCGGGCCGTATGAATTGTGCAGAACGTAACTGCACCGATGGATTATCGCGCGCCAACGTTTGCCGTCGTTCTTTCGTCCTCATGAAATATTCCGTCTCTCGCCGCTGCCCGCCCCGTCCTCTCCTCCGTTTCCTTCCGCGTCCGTTGGCCCCTTTCGCCGATCAGAAATCTCTCGGCGAGGTCCGGCGATGCTCGTTTAAAAGTTCGCGCGGATTATCGCCATTGCCGATTTTAACGGGCGGCCCTTTGGCGGGAAATGGAGAAGCGCGGTAAACGCTGAGAACGAGAGACAGGTAGGATCGCGCCAAAGGGGGAAACGAATGGCGGAGGGGAAGGGTAGTAGCACGCGCGGGTTGAGCGAGCAGTGAATAATCAATGTCTATAGAAACGACGGCGTCTCTCTTTCGCGGTTATGCTAACGGGGGAACCGGCACGGCAGGTAGCAAGTCGACGAAAAGACGAGAGAGAGGGTTTGCACGGCGGTAACGTCGCGGGGTTGGATGTGGCGCGGAGAGAGTTCGTCGCCTCGTTGAAATTATGCCGCGCGCGCGAGTTTCTCCGCGTCTCTCGTGCGCGAAGCTGTTCTTCCGCGGCTCACTTCAAAGACGGCGCGCCACATTACGCGGCGGCAGGCGTATATTTTCGGTGGGATCGCGCGAAAGAGGAAGGGTGAAAGCATCGGGTGAAAACGCAGACGGTTGACCCCGATTTACGGTGCGCATCGTCGGCGGTGCGTTTTTGCCTTTTTTCATTAAAGCTGCGAAATTAATGTGGCTCGAGGGGGGTCGCTTCGTGTAAGAGCGGGTTTTAGATTTTGTTTTTCGAGTTTAATCGCGCGACCGTAAAATAGCGCCGAAATAATCTCGTGCAATTGCGCCGGGCGCAAACGTATTTTTGACCGTTCGAAGGAACGGTCAAAATGAGCGAAATTAACGCGGCTCGGTCGTAATTCTGTTCGAAGACGCGGCTCGTTGTACGAGAGATTATACGCGTGTGCGAGAAAAAATCGTCGATATCGCAACGACGAAGTCGATTGGAGTTCCGGCCGATGAAGGGATTATCCCGAGGTGAATTTTAAATTCCGCCCCCGCGAGATGTGAAATGCATGCATATTTCAAGCGCGCGGAATTTTTCTCCACTTTTATTCATTTATGTGCAGCTGAATCGATGTTCTTGCGTTTAGCTGAACATGTTAAAAGCAGACTTTCCGCGGAACATTTCAGAATCTTCAAAGGGAAGCCATTTTTTCATATTAGGCAAGCGTGCCGGCAGTGCTTGTGCTTAACTGCAAAGATTTAATTAGAAACTTTTCAGGTTCACAACTGGTTACGAGACTGATAACGTTTCTTCTTTCTGGTCATTGCGATAAACGCTTTGCGTTACTAACGCTTTACGTTAGAGTTATGTTACTGAACATTTGAAGAGCTACGACCTATTTTCTTATATTTCGCATTTTTCGCGCGATATTCAGTGTCCATGCACAGCGTTTAGTTCACGTTACGAAAACGTTCGCGTATTCTCACAGACTTTAAAGACTGGAAAATTTATATATATTACAGAGAAAAGATCTCAGTATCTGTAAAAGAAAAGAGAGGTCATATGCGGGTTTCGTCATTTCTCGACGAACGTTGTCAATATCTGAAAAAAGCGAATGTCAGACAGACCGAAACTTTCCGACCAACTTGCATTTCTCACGGAATGTTGGGAGTTGCGGGACGGAAATACGGACGAGATGTCTGCGCGCAACCAGAATACTTCTCCAGCTTCGTCGGAGATTATTAAAAGGTCTAATCGAGTGACAGGGAGTGCTCGCCGGAACTCTAAGCGTCCTTGGTATGTGATTGATATATACCTAGAATGCGCGTTCGTTGGCCGTATCATGGTACACGGTTGAAAGTACCCCGGTGTGCGATGCCTTTGTGAAGGGAGGTAAGGGCATCCACCACTCAAGCAGACCCGTCGTTCGCCTAATGCGATTAATAGCACGACGCTGCCAGACAAGGGAGACAGGACCGTGCCCGTAGCCTTTCCATCGTACCTCGCCTTGCACACTGTCGAAGA